GGTCCACTCAACATTGGGGACTCCCAGCCCCCCCTCTCCACATGGGAGAAAGATCATGCCCCGTGTGGAGTGTGTGTTGAGGCCCACCCACTTTCTGACCAGCTGGACAGTTTTGTTTGTCATTTCTCTCAGTCCCTTGAGAGGGATGTGTACATTGGCAAAGAGATGTTGAATTTTGGCCAAAGCCACCTCTCTCACAGCCTGGAACTTCATGAGGACGGGGAGGGGGGACAAGTCAATCAGGTGGAGACGATGGAGAAACTCTGTAGTGAGCTCCTCGACCTGCTCCCCCCACTCGCCAGCGATGTTAAACCTGTGGCCAAGGTATGGGTAGGTCTCATTACGGCAATAGACCTTAATAGGTTGGCCCATTACAAGAAAGGAGGGGGGCTTGTCGTTCTTGGCCTTATACCAGCGGTTGCCTCCACTGCGGCGCTCATGGAGTACGGCACACTTAGCTTGCTTCACCTCCAGCCCTGACCATTGGAGGAACTCATCAGTGCGTGCTAGCATGCCAATGATGACATCCTCCTGTCGAGATAACACCTGCACGTCGTCAGCGTATCCTTGAACAGGATTTGGAGATTTGACATGTAGAGGAGCGCACTGGTAAATCCACTTCATCCATTGGTTGAGTGCTAGGATGAAGTTCACGGCACTCCAGGGACAGCCAGTTTTTATTCCCACCTTCAGTGCAATCGGCTCTGTGAGCTGCTGCCCACAGATAACCTGGAGAAATGAACCTTGGTACACATTGGATACCACATTCACAAAAGGCTGAGGCAGGTGTATTTCCTCTAATGCTTTTAGCATCACCTCATGGGAGAGTGTACCAAACGCGTCTCTAAAGTGCAAAAACACTGTGTAGAATTTAGATGATCCATGTTTGAAATCATCTATTCCGGTTTTTAAGCAAAACACATGTTCGTTCATTCCCTGTCTGTTGATATATGCTTTCTGATGGGGGGAGAGAATCCCTGTGTCCACCAGCCAGGGTAAGATGCGGGTGAGTAGGCACTTCATAAAGACTTTGTATATAGTGGGCAATAGTGAAATGTCACGCCAAGTGGAAGGATCATCTGGGACATTTTCCTTTTTTCTTCTACACATCTTTCCCATCACACACAGTTTGGTGGATCCTGCAGGCTCTTCACTTTTCAGGTCAGTACACATCAGATTCAGATTCCATAAAACAGACACACAGATATTAACACACACACACACACACACACACACACACACACACACACACACACACACACACACACACACACACACACACACACACACACACACACACACACACACACACACACACACACACACACACACACACACACACACACACACACACACACACACACACACATTAATTAGCAGGTCAGTGTTTATCGTAATTGAGGCTAACAGCAAACAGCTTTTCGATTCATTGGAAGCCATTTCTTCGTCAGACCTCAGAAATGTGAGGATCAAGCTCCTTGAATAAGACTTTTGTTCACATGTTAATCACATCAGACATTACTTAAATTTGGCCTCTGCAAAACAGCTGACGTCACATTTAGATTGAATGTTTTCAGACTGTTATCGGTGCAAACACTTGATACTTAGCAGGTTCCTCTTTAAGCATTGCTGCAACGAAAACCATACAAATAATATGCTATTCATCCGCCCTAAAAACAATAGTAACTACAGGAAGGAAGTGAACCAGCTGGCCCTGTGGTGCCAAAACAACAACCTCTTCCTCAACCTGGAGAAAACAAAGGAGATAGTTGTTGACTTCAGGAGAACCCACCGCCGACCCCCTCTTCCCCTGACCATCAACGGCGCTGCTGTGACGCAGGTGACCAGCACCAAATTCCTTGGGGTGACCATCACTGAGGACCTCACCTGGAAAAACAACACCACCGCTCTAGCGAGGAAAGTCCAGCAGCGCCTGTACTTCATCCGGAAGCTCAAGCGAGCCGGAGCATCACCCCCATCATGCTGTCCTTCTACCGAGGCGCCACCGAGAGCATCCTCAGCAGCTGTATCACGCTGTACCGCCGCCGACCGCAAGAGCCTGCAGCGCATAGTGAACTCTGCCCAGAGGATCATCGGTGCCTCACTCCCATCGCTACAACACCCGCCTCACCCGCAAAGCACTCACCATTGCGGGTGACTCCACCCACCCCTCCAACAGCCTCTTCAGCCTCCTGCCTTCAGGAAGAAGGTTCCTCAGCCTCAGCTCGCGCACCTCCAGGCTGGGCAACAGCTTCCTCCACCAGGCGGTCAGGATGCTGAACTCTCTCCCCTCCCTCCCTCTCTTCCGCCCTCTGACATCTCTCCCCTGAACTCTCCATCCTGCCTCCGACCTTTCTCCCCTGCCCCAAATGGTCCTGGACTCTAACCCCCCCCCCCCCACACACACAAACACACACACATCCAACTTCTCTCATCCAGCACCAGTCACTTTTCTGCCCATCTCCGCTGCTACTGCCCTGAAACTGTACTTTGAACACTGAAACACTTAAATATATTATTAACATTTTAATTTGTATACCCCGGTTATCTTGGCCCTTTGTTTTGTTTAATGTATACCATGTTTATCTAGGCCCTTTTTGTTTTTTGTTTGATGTATACATGTCACACTGTAGGACTGCGGGAAACGATATTTCGATATTTCTGGATGTACAACATGTAGAATTCTTGACAATAAAGCTGACTTTGACTTTGATAATTCACCACAGGGTCAATCTGTTCAGCATTAGAGTTATTACTGGCTGCTACTTATTTGAACTTGTACTTATTTGACTTCATAACCTGTTGCTTGCTTCTGTATTCACTTCCTCCTCCGATTGACTTTAGTCTTGCTGCACTGAATTAAGGATTTCTGACTGTAGTCTTTGTAATAATAATGCAGTTATTTGCAATTATTTCATGAGGTTAAGAGGGAAAATTACCCATTTGATCAAAAAGGATTGTAAATTGGTTGCTCAACTGTCTCTGGATGACTGGATCATGAATGGAGTCGGTGAGTTGGAAGCAAGCGAAAGATAATCGATGTTTAAAATCAGCCGTCATTCTCATCGTGCTGAATAACGATGTGTTACTTCCCTTGAGTTGTATTAATATGTGTGTCGTGGCTTCCTTCCTTATTTTCTATCGAGCCACTAGACGCCTTAAACAGACATGTTTAACTCGTTTTCCTTCCTCTATTTTTGTGTTTCTCACAGTTGATGAGTTGGCCTCGATGGTGGGATGATATTGTGCAATGCTCAAAATAAACTAACAAACTTTTCATACAGGTAACAAAGATACAGGCTTTTACAAAGATCAAGACAAAGAGGCAAAACTCAAATAAAATAACAAACAACTTAGGTATTCTTTCTTGCTTTCTTTCTATGTTAAGGCTTGTATAATTTGGTAATTCAAACGGTATCTTAACGGTTAAAAACTGAGCCTCGACAGCATCTTTCTGACAGGTTGCCCATCTGTCTCTTTAGAGGAGGTGACGTGTGGGGATTGTAGTCTTTTATACTCTGTTGACTACAGACACGATTTGGTGGCCTTTTTTATAAAAACGAAATACTGGCTCTGCAGATATCAGCTCAGATTAAAGACCCTCTCATATGGTCTGTTCACCCCCAGCTCTCCACCAGTCGTCTGGCAGCTCTGGTTCTCTGATAAGATGCATGATACACGCAGAGAAACTATTCTGTGACAAGAAACTCAGTTTATCTGCGGTTCGATCCGTATGGCTGATAGTATTCAGCTTGATCTGGAGACGGATGCTAACAGAGTCAGCTAAACACGGGTCAGATATGGGATTATCTTTCAGAATGATTAGGCTGTAAGCATACTAGATTTAAACAGCTGTTACGCAAGACTGTGGATAAGCTCCTGTACTACTAAGACATTACATCAACTGATATTCTAATTAATCAAATCAATGTATATCTTTCTTGTCACAGTCTGATCCCTCACTCACCTATTTTCTGCATTAGTATTTCTCAGTCACCTGGTAGTCACACCCTGTTTCTCTCTCACACTGTTACACCCATCAGCTCCACTAGTATATAGGCCCGCTTCACTTTCACCTCAGTGCCAGATCGTATTTTGCATCATGCAGTTCTTTCCATCATTACCTCCCAGATTGCTCTCCCGGTTTTGACCCTGCCTATCCCTGACCAGCCTGCTTCGCCTGCTCCCTGACCCTGTCTGTACCTGCGTCTCCCGTCTTGCCTACTCCTGGAACCCTCGCCTGTCCCCGACCAGCCCTTTGCCTACTGTCTGCCGGTTTGTCTTTAATAAAGCTGGTTACCGACTTTCCCTGGTCTCCCGTGTGTTGCACTTTGGTTCTCAGCTCGTTCGTGACATTTCTAGCCCAATATCGCAATTACATATTTGTCTTAAGGGGCGTTGTACGGTGGCTGGGAAAGGCAAACGAGAATTACAAAGTGTGAAACACTTTAACAAAGCTTGAGACAAATTTAGATTTTATAAAACAAAATTACATTAGCAAAACCCTTTTACCTAGGACAAAACAATTTGACATTAACAATACAAAATTAACAAGTCACTTTTAAAATGACTTAAATTAACATATACATATTTGGGTCATGTATACATATTAAATATATTTACATGAATATGTGCCGGTAAAGAGTTATTGTGAAAATAGTGTATATTTCATATACAGTACTTGTGGTACATTACATGTTACTTTGTTGACCCCTTGCTGTGCAGCCTGATGGCACAGAGGACTGTCCGAGGAGGGACAGTCCGTTTCAGGAAGGACTGCACGCTCTTACTATGAAATGTGGAAGTTGTGTAATCTGTAAAGTGTAAACCCACAAATAAAAACTGCTCTTACAGTAGATCAGCTTCACTCTTACATCGTGTTGTTCAGTTGAAAGTATTACATAATAATAATATATATTATATCTTATCCCTTTATGACAGGGCGGGGGTTGGCAGGAAATGAGCCTGACTTCCTGTCTCTCGTGAACATATACGTATAAGTACATAGATATGTGAGTATAAGTACACAGAGTGAGGAGATGGACCCCCTGCTGCTGCTGCTGCTGCTGGGCTCAGGTAACACATACTCTTTTTCTTTGATTATTATCTCTACTATAGATATTCAGTATTATATTGATATATCAACACAGCAGTTATTGACTAAAACAGGACAGGAAAATACATTTAAAATGTGGTTAAAAAGTTAAGATCTGCACTAAATGCAGATATAACCGTCCCTCTGCAAAGTCTGCATTTTCATTTACATCAAACACTGGAATATTCTTCCAGATTAAAACCTTTCACTCTTTCTCTCATGGTGCAGAGAAATGGATATTAAGACAACATTAATTACACTATAACCTGAGTTTTTACATTTTAACTGTAGTGTAATATTGTATTTTAACCGTACTATGAACTATTTTATTGCCCTGTACTTTAATCTTGTTTTATAATTGTTTGTGTGATAGAGATAATGAGTGTAGTGTTTGATTGTTGTGTACCTCAGGACTGCAGATGGAAATTAGATATTAGCTCAAATCTGTCATGAAACATCTATTTCTGAGATGAATGTATTGGTATGAGTGGTCCTTGTTCAAATTAAATACTTAATCATTCAAATAAATGTAAATGTTTTTATTAAAATAAATTAAAATTAGTTGATCATAACTAATTAACACATATTTTGGTTTTATTTAATCATTTATTAGACTTTTTACTTATAAGTAGGGGTTTTAAAAGCACATGAGGGGGAGAGATGGGGAGGAAAAGGGGGAGATAAGAACAGTTTCAGTTCATTTAATAGAATAACATTTCAGAAATTAAATAAATAAAAAGAAGTGGAGGTGGTCTCATCATCACTGGTATCTCTAGTTTAGTGAGGTGGGTCCATTGTTCCAGCTGCTCTCCGCTGCCTGGCTCTGGACCAAGCGGCAAACTATGGGGCAGAGCCGGCAAGCCCATAAGGAAGTGCCATAAACTGCAGTTCATCTATTGGCCGATAGGGGATGGCTGCAGAAAGGAGCAATTTCCTTTGACCCCCATGTTAAAATGCCCAACTTTACAGCAGAAATAAACATGTTTCTACCCCTGGATGCAATACAAATTATTCTGGATATAGTTAGATTCCACCTTAATGATTATGAATTGGTGAGTGAATTGTTTTATAACATGACCCTTTTAGTTATATTAGGTCTTAACTTTTTGGGATAAATTAGGGCGTGGTCACTTTGATGGACAGGTCTCTGCGGTGACTGCTGCTCCTAGCTTTCTGTCCCTCTGCTAGCTCCGTTAGCTCTGTTAGCTCCAGGATGCTACAGGGGCTCAGCTGCGAGGCTGATCCGGGCAACACAACTTGAACTCGGATGTGTTTGTTGTGTTGGCGCCTGGTCGAGTATTCTTCATTTAAATATCGGACTTATCATATGCCGCCTCGGCTCCGACTCTTTGACCTTATTTGGAGCAGGATGGAGCAGGCGGGAGTTAGACTCTGATGTCACTGTCGAGACAGCGGCGGCCGACTCCGCCTACTAAGGGCTTCTCAGCAACTCTGCAGAAACCTATGGGTGACGTCACGGACACTACGTCCATTTGTATATACAGTCTATGCTCTGGACCCTGATCCAGTCCCTGTCTCCAGGTCCGTGGGCTGCACTTTGTCTGGGCCGTGGATTTTAAAATGGGTGCATGAAAGCTTGTGACTTCCCTTTGTAGAGGTGTTGCTTAATTCTGAGGCTGATTTCTTTACGTGTCTCCCCCTCATAGAGTTTGTGGCAGTCCCTGCATTGTATTGCATAACCAGGGGGTTGTTTGGTTGGGTGTTTAAATCTGCTGCATCATGTTTAAAGAGTCAGAGCTGCATGTTTAAATCTGATGCTTCAAGTTTAAAGAGTCTGAAAAGAGCTTTTTACTGACGTTTATCTCCTGACTTTCTCCTCAGGACTCCAGGCTGAAGGAGCAATCAAACCACCAGGTACACAGGGAGAGAAACACAAGTGGAGGAACACTGAAGCAGAACCAGCTGAGTTTCAGTTGTGCTTTCTGTGGTGTTAGTTAAGATTTAAGATCATTTTTTTAACGGCAAGCAAGTAGTTAACTACAGTGTCACTAACTACAGTGTCACTAACTACGGTATCACTAACTACAGGTTCACTAAATACAGTGTCACTAACTACAGTGTCACTAACTACAGTGTCACTAACTACGGTATCACTAACTACAGGTTCACTAAATACAGTGTCACTAACTACAGTGTCACTAACTACAGTGTCACTAACTACAGTGTCACTAACTACGTGTCACTAACTACGGTATCACTAACTACAGGTTCACTAAATACAGTGTCACTAAATACAGTGTCACTAACTACAGTGTCACCAAATACAGTGTCACTATATACAGTGTCTCTAACTACAGTTTCACTAAATACAGTGTCACTAACTACAGTGTCACTAACTACAGGTTCACTTGGCACAATTGTACCTATATTGATTTAGTATTAAACTGTTCAGTAGCTCAATAAGCTGAATAAAACCCTAAGCATAGCACTCCTTTTTGTGCAACTTCGTGTCAGAGAGTTGTCAGTAGATGTAGCTGTACTCTACAACAGTAAGCTTATTGCACTGTTCATTGTTTAATGCTAATGTTGTTAACTCCAGCCTTTCTCACTTTAGCTAGCTAGCTTAGCGTAGTGTAAGAGTCGGGAGGACTGATAATTTATTCTGGCAAATTACTCAGACCTCCTAATTAACCTAACCAAAGTTATTGAGTCTATGTAAGTTTGCTGCTTGGCTCAGATCCACCAACGTCAGCAAGATCTCACCTCTATTAACTCCCCGAAGAACCAGGTTCAATTAACTGCTGTTTCAATTCAGACGACCCCCTAAATCTGTTTAAGCGATCCCGAAGGATTTTGATATCAGTAAATTAAGTGTGGCCCTATACTAAGTGTGAGTGTGGCAGTGTGCAATCTTACCTTTGAAGCAGGAGAGGAGAGCGCAGATGTCTTTTAAGTTGTCCCAATCCAAAAGGCGGGATCAGTTTATTTGAAGAAAAATAGGTCCAAACTAATACAGGGTTTTTACCTTCTCTCGTTACAACATTATAATCATACTAAACCTATCATGCTGTGATCATGTTCTAATATGAAAACTTTAATTCACAGTTTTACATTTATTACCATAATTTGTAACTTCAACTGCCCAATTCAGTTGTGACATTTAAAATCTCCCGATAGAATTTAGAGGCATTTCCTCATAAAAGACCGATGATAATAAAAAGCACATTCAAACTTTCATTCAACAAATCAGTTCATTTTCTCATTTCCACATTCGTATACTTCAACTAGTCCCGCATGAATTCAGAGGACCTTCTTCATAGGTGGCAGGGTACTAACTTTCAACAAACATCAATTCATTCCACATCAATTCATTCCACAATTCACATTTGTATACTTCAACTAGTCCCGCATGAATTCAGAGGACCTTCCTCATAGGTGGCAGGGTACTAACTTTCAACAAACATCTATTCATTCCACTAATTTCACAAAGAAATTCACTCAGCATTCAACAAAGAAATTCGAGAGATATTTACCAAGTTTGAGAGTACCTTACCGAGAGCAAAAACCCAGCTCTGAAGCTCTCCCTCTCTAACCCAGTGTTTTAAAGCTCAACACAGGGCAGAAAAACCCAATACACACCTCCTCAGGCTTATGTAACAAAAGTTCATGACCTCAAATGTACAGAACTAAAACATTATTCTCGGTTATGACATAACCACCTTTTTGGGCCTCAGTCTATCTCCAAAAAGTCAGGAGCCCCCCTCCCTGTGTACTGCTGTGAGGGAAGAGGGAAGAAACTGCCTTCTTTCTTATCAGTGACAGCCATAAACCATTATAGGCCTGACACTCAACTTAACAAACCACTTTGTTTATACTGTAAATATGCAAAATCATAAAATATGATGCATTTTCATTGTGGGTTATACAAGAATATAATTGATTATACTTGATTATAATTAACTACGATTAATTACGAAAAGTAAGGGAGGCGGTGTGTGTGTAATGACTAACAACAACTGGTGCTCAGATGTGAAGATTATTTCATCGGACTGTTCCGCACAGCTAGAGCACCTCATGATCTCATGTCGGGCCTTCCATCTGCCGAGGGAATTCACATCTGTTGTGATAACAGCAGTGTATATCCCGCCGCAGCCACTCGCAGACAACAACACGGCACTCGATCAGCTGTTTGGGTTTATTGATAAAACCGAGACTTCACGGCCAGATGCGGCGTTCGTTGTGGCCGGAGATTTCAACACCGCCAACATGAAGAAGGTTTTGCCAAAATATTACCAACACATCAACTTCCCGACGCGCGGGGGAAACATACTGGACCATGTTTATTCCCCTTTCCGGAATGGATATAAGGCTCTCCCTCGCCCTCCCTTCGGCAAATCAGACCATATCTCACTACTGTTGTTGCCTGCTTACAAGCAGAAACTTAAAAGGGACAGACCGATAACAAGGACAGTACAACGATGGAGCGTGGAGTCAGATGAGGCACTGCAGGATTGCTTTGCATCTACGGATTGGAGTGTGTTTGAGGACAATAACATCAACACACACACGGACACTGTCATCTGCTACATTGGGAAATGGATCGATGACGTGGTACCGAAGGTTTCTGTACGGACATTCCCAAATCAAAAGCCCTGGGTAAACGGTGAGGTGCGCGGCAAACTGAAAGCGCGCACTCTCGCGCACACAGCGGGAGATTTGGAGGAGTACAGGAAGTCTAGGTATGATCTCCGGAGAGCAATTAAAAATGCAAAGAGACAGTACAAAGACAAGGTGGAATCTGACTTCAAAGGCTGTAACACTAGGAATATGTGGGCGGGACTAAGGACAATGACTGACTACAAAGGAGCAGCGGGGGGTGCTGCGGGAGTGTCTGCGTGCGCATCTCTCCCAGATGAGCTGAACAGTTTTTTTTGCACGCTTTGAGAGCAGCCAGGCTGTGGAGGTACAGAGGGACCAGGAGCTACACTGCCCTTTTGTTTTAAATGGGGCAGATGTGTGTAAATCCTTTAAAAGGGTTAACCCACACAAGGCTCCTGGACCTGATGGCATCCCTGGCCGTGTTCTCAGGGTGTGTGCAGTTCAGCTGGCAGAGGTGTTCACAGACATCTTCAACAGGTCCCTGCTGCAGTCTGTAGTCCCCACATGCTTTAAACACTCCACCATCATTCCTGTCCCCAAAAAGACAATCATCACCTGCCCCAACGACTACCGCCCAGTAGCACTCACCTCCATCATAATGAAGTGCTTTGAGCGGTTAGTCAAATTATTCATCACCTCCTCCCTCCCTGAATCTCTGGACCCCCTGCAGTTTGCCTACAGAGCAAACAGGTCCACAGACGACGCCATAGCCCTCACCCTCCACACTGCCCTCTCACACCTGGACCCGAAGAACAGGAACACATATGTGAGAATGCTGTTCATTGACTACAGTTCAGCATTCAACACCATTGTGCCCTCCAAGCTGGCTATCAAGCTCAGAGACCTCGGGCTCAACAGCGCCCTCTGTGACTGGATCCTGAACTTCCTGACGGGCAGACCCCAGGCAGTGCGGGTGGGAAATATCACATCCTCCACCCTGATTCTCAACACCGGTGCCCCTCAAGGCTGCGTGCTCAGCCCTCTCCTCTACTCCCTGTTCACCCACGACTGCGTGGCCACACACAGCTCCAACACCATCGTGAAGTTTGCTGATGACACGACCGTCATCGGTCAGATCACAGACGATGACGAGACGGCGTACAGAGAGGAGGTCGAAAACCTGACATCTTGGTGCCAGGAGAACAACCTCCATCTCAACATCAGCAAAACAAAGGAGCTGATTGTGGACTACAGGAAGCAGCAGGGAGAGGGACACGCCCCCATCGCCATCAATGGGACTACGGTGGAGAGAGTCAAAAGCTTCAGGTTCCTTGGGGTCCACATCACTGAGGACCTGACATGGTCTCTTCACACCACCACCATCACCAAGAAAGCTCGACAGCGGCTCTTCTTCCTCCGCAGGTTGAGGAGGTTCAAAATGGATTCCAGGATACTCTGCAACTTCTACAGGTGCACGATAGAGAGTATCCTCACTGGCAGCATGACGGCCTGGTACGGCAGCTGCACCGACCTCGATCGTAAGGCTTTACAGAGGGTGGTGAAAACTGCACAGCACATCACCAGGACGGAGCTGCCATCCATGGAGGACCTTTACTCCCAGCGGCTCAGGAAGAAATCACTACGGATTATCAAAGACCCCCATCACCCCAGCCACAAACTGTTCTTTCTGTTGCCGTCTGGCAGACGTTACCGCAGCATCCGGGCAAGGACAAGAAGATTCGGAGACAGTTTCTTCCCGCGGGCAGTGAGACTGTTAAAAAATTGAACTGTTGAAACAACATCAAACATTCAACTGCTACTCAGTAGTATGTATCTAATACCTAATATATATATATATCATTCCAATAACTTGTATATAGACTCATACTGCACTATTCCACATCATAACTTTATTTCATTTTTATAACTATTATTATTTTTGTATTGCTCATGCTCTTATTGTTATGTTGTTATTATGTTATGTTATTATGTTGCATTGTTGGAGAAGCCTGTGACATAAGATTTTCAACTGCATAATTACTCTGTAGCTATGTCAGATTGACAATAAAGAACCTTGAACCTTGAACCTTGAACTTTTGTTTTAAGTATTCAACAATATGGAGATCTCAACAGTAGCAACGGCCGAGCCTTAGTGTAATTATTTCTTCACCGTGATTCACCAACTCTGGACTTCTTCTGTCAGTCTCCAGCTTTCAGTGAGCGTCTCACACACACATCTACAACCTTAGAACAAAGTGCAAGCTGTCCCTGTTCTGATCAGACAACATGACATTGATTTATTAAGGTTTTATCTGAGTTATATTTCACTGTTCAGCAGCAGATCTCTCTCTTCACTGTCACCTCGCGTTGAAGAGAGAGTGCAGTGTAACCGCACATCAAACTTCTTGTTCAGATGACTCTTCTTTCTGTTTAGAGGTTACAGTAGGCCGGTGCGGTCCAGTGCTCCGTAACACTAAAAGAGCCTTGGCCTGCTAGCTAGCATTAGCTAGGTATCTTAGCTACCATGAATATGTTTCTGTAATAAGGTCTCATGTTGGTCCACAGGAAGGGGCGGGACTCTCTTCTTTTACTGATGACTCTCCTGTTTCTGTTCAGAGCCTGTCAGGCTGGTGGGAGGATCCAGTCGCTGTGCAGGAGACCTGGAGCTGAAATATCGGGGAATATGGAGACAAGTGCATTATCCTGTTGAGCACCGGACCCTGAAGGCAGCACAAGTTGCCTGCACAGATCTCGACTGTGGCTCTGCTGTTTCTCTCAGACACAGAAGGGAGTCCTCAGAGAGACTAGTGTGAGGGATCAGTCCTGACTGTCTTTATTCTGGATCTGCTCTGAGGGAGTGTGCAGCAACAGATTCCTCTTCTGCCTTCCTGAATCTCACCTGCTCAGGTAAGCCCATCAGTCCCATCATGCATCTCACCTGTAAGTCCATCAGTCCCATCCTCACAGTAACCCACATGCAGCAGCTGGAGTCTCAGCAGGCTCCTGCAGGACCTGATGACCGGCTGCTCAGTACTTCAGGATTCAGGGAACATGTATTGTCTTTCTGCTCCTCAGGGTTTCTCAGCCTAATGCAGCTGTAGCCTAGTGGCTGCATCTTGTCTAGATCTGTTTTATTTTGAAAAGTGTTCCCCCCCCCCGTCTTGCCTGTTGCTTCCTGTCTGTGTGTTCCCTCCTACCTGATTACCCGATTGTGTTCACCTTGTGCCCCTGTGTTTTCTCCTCCCTCCTCACCTGTGTCTTGTTTCTTTGATTAGTCCTGTATGCATTTAGGTTCGCTTTTTCCTGTTAGTCGTCGTGAGATCCTTGTTTGTTGTTTACTGTGTTCACAGGCGAGAGAGTTCTGCTCTGTATGTTACTTGTAGCCTTGAAATAAAGGTATTTTCTGTAAAACCTGCATTTGGGTCTTGCCTGCTTCGCTCAACCCTGACAGAAGGATCTCACCAAAGATGGACCTAGCAGTGTTTTTTGAGGATGACGTTGGCAAATTATCCTGCAAACTTTTATGTTTTCTTGGAGAGTGGATGAGGGCTCATGGTAAAGAGGCTTAGGAGGCTGCTCTTTCACAAGCACGCCGGGAAGTTGCAGATAAGCCCTGGTTAAGGAGCTCACTGCCTGAGTTTTTAAGGGACTTTGTGACTCCTCCCGATAAACTGCATGCCTGCTTTAAACCTTGAGACCCAGCAGCCTGTCTCGCCGGGGGTCCTGCCAACTCTATGTCCTGTCCCGTTGGGGGTCCCGCCGACTACTGTTCTGCCGGGGGTCCTGCCAACCCCATGTCCTGTTCCGTTGGGGGTCCCGCCGTCACCTGTCTCGCCGGGGGTCCTGCCAACTCCTTGTCCTGTCCTGTTGGGGGTCCCGCCGACTACTGTTCTGCCGGGGGTCCTGCCAAACCCATGTCCTGTTCCGTTGGGGGTCCAGCCGACACCTGTTGCGTCGGGGGTCCTGCCAACCCCATGTCCTGGTCCGTTGGGGGTTCCGCTGGGGGTCCTGCCAACTCTGTGTCCTGTTCCGTTGGGGGTCCCGCCGTTACCTGTCTCGCCGGGGGTCTTGCCAACTCTGTGTCCTGTTCCGTTGGGGGTCCTGCCAACTCCTTGTCCTGTTTCGTTGGGGGTTCCGCTGAGGGTCCTGCCAACCCCATGTCCTGTTTCGTTGGGGGTCCCGCCGACACCTGTTTCGTCTGGGGTCCTGCCAACCCCATGTCCTGGTCCGTTGGGGGTTCCGCTGGGGGTCCGGCCGACACCTGTCCCGCCAACACCTGTTCCGTCGGAGGTCCAGCCTGCTCCGAATCCTGTTCAGTCAGAGGTCCCGCTGCCACCAGATCCTAACCCGCCGGGGGTCCCGCCTACACCATGTCCAGTTCTGTTGGGGGTCCTGCTGATGCCTCTTCCGCCGACACCGTGTCCTGTTCCGACGGCGGTCCCGTCGACACCAGCCCTTGTTCCGTCTGGGGTCCAGTCGACACCAGCCCTTGCCCTGTCCGGGGTCCCACTGACACCAGCCCATGTTCTGTCCAAGGTCTCGTCTGTGCCTGTCCCATCGTGGGTTCCGTCTGCACCTGTCCCGACGGCTCCGGTTCCTATCCGGCCGACACCGGTTCCTGTACCGCAACACCGGTTCCTGTCCCGCCATCCCCAGCTCCCAGTGCTCCCGATTCCTGTGCTCCTGCTTCGGTGATCCAGCTGCCCGTCCTGCGGAGCTGTCCCGTCGCCGCCCTTCTTGCCCGTCCTTGTGCCCGGCCCCCTGAGTTCCCCAGCCTTCGCCCTCGAGCCCGGCCCCCTGAGTGCCACGGCCTTCACCCTCGAGCCCGGCCCCCTAAGTTCCCCAGCCGTGGCCTTCGCCCTCGAGCCCGGCCCCTGACTTTCCCAGCCGATGCCTTCGCCCTCGAGCCCGGTCCCCTGACTTTCCCAGCCGCTGCCTTCGCCCTCGAGCCGGGCCCCCTGACTTTCCCAGCCGCTGCCTTCTCCCTCGAGTCCGGCCCCCTAATTCACCCCGACGAGACCTTCGCCTCTGTCTTCGCCCCCCTGAGTTTCCCCGCCGCGGACTTCCCTGCTCTGTTGCTGTTCCCCCGGGCCGTCCGCACAAGTCCCCCTTCTCGGCTTCTGCTTTGCCCCGGGATGTCCGTCCGAGTCCCTCCTCCGGTCCCCCTCCACCCACCCTGTTGGACGTTTTGGATTTCTTTTTTTAGGGACGTCTGGGATCCGTCTCTTGAGGGGGGGGGGGGGGGGGGGGTAATGTCACGATCTGTCTGTGTTGTGTTTTGTCTTGTCTAGATCTGTCTTTGGTTTCCTGTTTTATTTTGAAAAGTGTTCAACCCCCGTCTTGCCTGTTGCTTCCTGTCTGTGTGTTCCCTCCTTGCCTGATTAGCCGATTGTGTTCACCTTGTTCTCCTCCCTCCTCACCTGTCTCTTGTTTCTTTGATTAGTCCTGTGTGCATTTAGGTTCGCTTTGTCCTGTTAGTCTTTGTGAGATCCTTGTTTGTTGTTGACTGTGTTCACGGGGGAGAGCTCTGTTTGTTACTTGTAGCCTTGAAATAAAGGTATTTTCTGTTAAATCTGCATTTGGGTCCTGCCTGCTTCGCTCAATCCTGACACATCTGCTGCAGCTGCTGAATGCACCAAGATATCTCTGTGTTCTCTTCTCTGCAGACTCTGTCAGGCTGCTAGGGGGGACTGGTCTGTGCTCAGGCAGACTGGAGGTGAACTCTAACCCGTCTAACCCGTCCTGGTCCTCAGTGTGTGAGTCTGACTTTGACCAGCAGGATGCTCAGGTGGTCTGCAAGCAGCTCGGCTGTGGGGCTCCTTCAGTCCTCCAGGGGGCGCTCTATGGAGCAGGGGAGGCTCCAATGTGGACCAAAGAGTTCCAGTGTGGAGGCCATGAGTCTGCTCTCCTGGACTGTAGCTCAGCCTCAGAGAGAAACACCTGCTCACCTGGCAGAACTGTTAGCCTCACCTGCTCAGGTAGAGAGGAGCTGTGATTGGTTCATTCTGTTCTGACAGAGAGGGGAAGCCCCGCCCCTTCCTGTGTCCCCATGGGAACTTATTTCTGAGGAAACTTACGGCAGCGAGAGACGAACAGTTTATACCGTTTGAATTGTTCCATGAATTACACATCTGAGGTTTGGCCGTGTTAAAGATCCTCTTTGAGTGACGTAGGTCACTCTGTGTGCTTCATTTAGGGTGGAGTTAAACTGCTCATGAACTACTTCAACTATTGTACATTACATTTCTAAATTGACTAAACTATGTTGTACATGGAACACTTCAAACAGGACCAGAAAGGATTGCTCTCTCTCATGTTGGTCCACAGGAAGGGGCGGGACTTCCCCTCTCTGTGAACTCTCTTCTTTTACTGATGACTCTCCTGTTTCTGTTCAGAGCCTGTCAGGCTGGTAGGAGGATCCAGTCGCTGTGAGGGAGAACTGGAGCTGAAATATTGGGGAGAGTGGAGACCAGTGGTTGCTTATTATGAGTGGTGGACCCTGAAGGAAGCAGCAATCGCCTGCAGAGATCTCAACTGTGGCTCTGCTGTTTCTCTAAGATGGAGAAAGAGCGAGGAGTCCTCAGAGAGATCTATGTGGGGGATCTATCCTCCCTGTGTTCAGTCTGGATCTGCTCTGAGGGAGTGTGCAGTATCAGGTTCCTCTACTTACATCCTGAATCTCACCTGCTCAGGTAAGCCCATCAGTGACATGATGCATTACAGTCTGACTGTCTCTCACCTGTCTCTCACCTGTCTGTCTCTCTCCTGTCTCTCTCACCTGTCTCTCACCTGTCTGTCTCTCACATGTCTGTCGTCTGTCTGTCTCTCTCTCACCTGTCTGTCTCTCACCTGTCTGTCTCTCACCTGTCTCTCTCACCTGTCTCTCACCTGTCTGTCTCTCACATGTCTGTCGTCTGTCTGTCTCTCTCTCACCTGTCTCTCTCCCACCTGTCTGTCTCTCACCTGTCTGTCTGTCACTGTCTCAGGTAAGCTCAGTGTTCACCTGTCTGTCCAACACACTCTCACTCCCAACGCGTCCAGGAGCGACGCTTGGTCAGAATTCCGTGGCGTCCAGTTGTGACGCGCCGAGTTTCCATCAGCGTCATAAACGGATGCAAAGAGCTTTCAACTGATTGCAATGTATTCCCATCGGCGTCGGTATTTGACGCTTAGGGAAGCACGGCATTCGTTTGTGTCGGCAGCTGTTAAAAGTGAGCGTCCATTCCCATTGGATAACGGAGAATTGTACACCCGGAAGTAAGTATTCTCCTTACTGTCGATTGATTTGACAGTGATATCTCCATTACTCATCCACTCAAAAACACCAGATTACCTTTGTTAATTAAACGACATTGATAGGTTTAAATTGTGTACAATGCTTTTGTGTTTTTCCCCTACAATTCTGAGACAACTTGTTTTCTCTGAAATGTGGAGCGCCAAAGAGACTACACTACCCACAATCCCCAGCTATTGTTTTGACGACTTTTGAGTTTTGGATGGCCGAAGACACTACACTACCCACAATCCCCAGCTATTGTTGTTACGACTTCTGTCCGCTTTGCGATTACATTACCCACAATCCTCAGGTACCGTCGTTAAGACGGCATACCTTTGCACTTTACGTGACCAAACCTGGATCAGTCGCAGTTCTTCAGAATCAAGGTAAGAGCATGGGTAACACATAGTTATAGGAAATAAACTTAGCCACGAATAATAATAATAATAATAATAATAATAATAATAATAATAATAATAATAATCTAATCGGCGCCAATGTTGCTTCTGGCACCTTTCTGAGGGGTATAGTAACTAAATAATATAGGGTATTACCTAAATATAACAAATGAACTCGCCTGAGCTAGCTTGCTAGCTAGCTAGCTAGAACACGCACTGCAATTTCTCCATAGAATTTTGGAAAATAGCTCGAAATAAGGTCTGTGGTTGACACACATTTAAGAGACGGATCACGTTTTGTTTAGCCGGATAATCTCCACTCTACTAGGGTATTACCTAAATATAACAAATGAACTCGCCTGAGCTAGCTAGCTAGATAGCTCAGAGACGGATCACGTTTTGTTCAGCCGGATAATCTCCACATGTTTCGAATTTTCGAATCGTAAATCTATTAATAATACTTTGTATACATGTGTTTTTAGTATTAATAGTAATAATACTTTTATAATTGTTGTACAAATGACTTATTTAAATGACTGGTGGCAGTGATTTTGCTGTGCGATGGTGTGAAAATACCTTTAATGACAACAGTAGTAAGCATTAATTGGTTATTAGCCAAGTAGAAAATTGTAAACAACAACAATTACACTGGCATTGTCATTTTATTTTTGAGTTTCTAAATTATGTTGTTTTCTCTCAACAGATCCTGCAATTTGTTCTCCAAAAAACAACCCTTTGTTTTTTCAAACTCCAAACAACCCAAAGGCACTTTTAAGAGCCAAGTCTGTCTTGTTAAACTGTCCTTGCTGTGTTGTACTTGATAGTCTCTTCCTATCTCTCTATTTATTTCTCTGTCTAACTCTGTTGTCAGTCTTTCTTCTGTGTCTCTGTCTGTGTCTCTTCACTATAATGAGTGATTCTGATCTTGAGGATCTCCTGAGAAGCGCAGATGAGCTGGTTGAGCAGAAAGAGTTAAGGGATGACCTACGGAGTGCTGATGATTTGCTTTGTAAAGTGGAAGCGGCAACAACAGCAGCAGTAGCAGTAGTAGCAGCAGCAGCAGCAGCAGCAGCAGCAGCAGCAGCAGCAGCAGCAGCTGCAGCAGTGCCAGCAGTGTCAATGATGTGCTGGAAGAAGAGAGACAGTGAGGGAAACTTGATCTTTGCAAGACCACGTTCAACCCGGAATGTCTCAAATCAGGGTCAGTATAAGATATATATTTCTAGGCACTTGAGTATATGAAATGAATGAAAACATAACTCTTGGTAAGGGAAAAGTATTACAATTTAATGGTATAAAATAAATGTTTTTTCTGATACAGCTGGCTGCAGTCGTAACACTGATCCCCCCGTTGCTGCTCCTGACCCTGACTGTGATCTGATCTTTGCTCCAGCTATCGCTCCAGAGACTGTTGGTATGTACTTCATTTGGTCTGGTTAGCCCGAAACACATATTCATACTTGTATCTTTATGTGATACGTACTTCATTTCTAAACTTCATAATTTGCTAGAATTAAGAACACAGTAGTTACAGCTTTCAAAACCACTCCATCCAGAATGTTTTAAAGAAAACTAATCATTGTGCTTTGGACTTTATTGTACCGTTTTAACAGAGGGGTTTCTACGAGATCTCCAGCAGTCTCTGAGCGATACTACAGGAGATGAGGTGGTAGCACAAACCCCAAGTGCTTCTCTGCTGGCATCGACCAACTGGAGCACTCGAAAAAGTTTTTTTTCAGAGAGCTGGAGGGCAGCGAGACCACATCTGGTTAACACCGTAGTGGCCCAAGCAAATGTGGGAACACACATTTGCCAACAGTGTTGGAGCAAAACGTCTGTTGTCCGGTGCCGGGATTGCCGACCACATCCCTTCTTCTGTGCTGACTGTGATGTCAGCATGCACTCCAGACACCCCCTCCACAACAGAGATGCTACTACTGCAGGTTACTTCCAGCCATTGGCCCCAACAACACATGTACTAAATATGGCCCTTTGCTCCTGTGGTAAGTTCTGGTTTGTGAATGTACATTTTCTTGCTGGACTTGTTGAGAATTTCATTTTGAAAATGTGAGCTTCCTCAACATCTCTGTGTTAATTCCCAGCAGTGTGCTTAAGTCTCTTTTTAATGTTCTGATGTAAAGTTAAATCCTAAATATGTCACATAACAATGTAGTATTTTTAAAAAGAGACAAATTATTTTTAATTCCCATTTGAATTTTTTTCCAGTGCGGTTTGTACCTGTGGAGATCCCGGACAAAATCTGTGGTTGTGCATCAGAGTCATTGAGCCTCAAGCCAGGAAAGACTGTGACTGTGATCACAATGAATGGTAAGAATGGGAAGAATGTTTGTCTTGTTTCTTAAGATAGATGTTATTGAAGTTTCTTCTTGATAATATCCAACCCTTCTCAAAGACATGTGGGATAGCTTGTCTATTAAACCTTAACATGGGTATTGAGTAAAGAATACCAAATGTATTAAAAACACCTTGTCTGTTTTTCAAGGACGACATGAGCTAAGCATGCCAGAGTTGGCTTGTGAAGCATGCGCTGCGACATGGACGACTGGGGTTGACGACCTTCTTCGGAGTGACTACTGGCCAGCTACCCTTCACTTCGCCACCATTTATGCCACAGATGTTTTCTTCTCATTTGAAGAAATGAAAATGGCTGCACCTGGACTATCCTTTCAGGCATATTTAAGGATGCTCGATCAGCGAACGTTGCGCTTCGGCCGTGTGAGTATTGAAGTTACTTGTCCTTTTTGATCTATTTGTATTGTACAAATTGTAAGCTGTGTCCTTATAATTTATAATCTATTTTTGACATAATTATCTGTTGATGTCCTTATTTTGTTATAGACTGGGAAGATCTCAACTGACAGCTTCATCAAAAGTTTCTTTGAGTGGGAGGCTGTGCGTTATGAGGTCGACATCATGTGCAAGGAGGAGCCCTTCACCTGTCCTGCGTGTAGCCCTGATATGCTTGCAGTTTCCGTGGATGGAAACCGCAAGCATTACCGTTTCAAGAATGCAGCTAGGTACTATAGAAAATATATAATGTCACAGTATTTGAACAAATAACGAAACAAAAGTATCTTGATGTGAACCAATCAATAATCTGAGATGTCATACATTGCTCCTTTGATTTATTTAGATCTGAGGAACAGGCCATCTTTGACGGTGTCTTTATAGCCAGGGATGAAGACGTCTCAAGATTTGTGGACTATATACACACCACAACCAAACATGTAATATTGCAGACTCTAATTATGTATAATATAATATCCTAATGAAGGGTTTGGTTAGGTTAGTCTTTGCACCATTTTCATCAATACATTTTTATATATTAGGTCTCCGGAAGAGGTGTTTGTGGAGGACAGTGGTCGGCAGCCAGAGAGACCTCCCAAAAATCAGCCGGCAAGCTGGATGAGGAGGGACTAGAGCTTGCCGTCTGTCGACATGGAGTGCTCCTCTGTGCTCTCAATATGTACAGGGGAGAAATCTTTGCTTATCCCTCTTAGGTGCCTTACAAACAATGGACGTCCACTCTCGGGAGCGTCGGAGTGGTGCGGTCACCCTAAGTGACAGACCTAAAGTATCCGGGATTCAGGCATCTTCCCTGGCTTGTACATTTTTGGTGATGCGCCCTGGAGGTATCAGACTATTTTAAACAACTTTTCCCCGCTTTTCAAACACTTATTCCGAGGTTTTAGCCAGTCATTTTGCACGAAATCATTTAACATTGACGGTCTCCTGAAAAAGCACATATTCTGTGCATTTTCAGGAGAGCGTCTATGTTAAATGATTTCGTGCAAAATGACTGTCTAAAACTCTCTTCCAGACATTTAAAAATACTTTCCCCGACCATTTAAACATTATTTCTGGCTTGTAAAGTGCAGTTATGCGCCCTGGAGATATTGCACTATTTACAAAATGTAGCACTCTGTTTATTTCACACCTCCAGGAGAGACCAGGGGGAAATCACCTCTCTCTGCCCCCTCACAGAGCCCCAAGGACGGACTAATTACCTCCAGCATGTCCCCATAACAGTGGGACTCTGTTTCTTTCACAGCTCCAGCAGAGACCAGGGGGAAATCACCTCTCTCTGCCCGCTCACAGAGCCCCAAGGACGGACTAATTACCTCCAGCATGGGCCCCTAACAGTGGGACTCTGCACCTCCAGCAGAGACCAGGGGGAAATCACCTCTTTTTGCCCGCTCACAGAGCACCGAAGGACGGACTAGAGACCTCCAGCACCAGTCCCTAACAGGGGGACTCTGTTTATTTCACACCTCCAGGGCGGAGACCGGGAAAATCACCTCTCTCTGCCCGCTCACAGAGCCCCAAGGACGGACTAATTACCTCCAGCATGGGCCCCTAACAGTGGGACTCTGCACCTCCAGCAGAGACCAGGGGGAAATCACCTCTCTCTGCCCCCTCACAGAGCCCCAAGGACGGACTAATTACCTCCAGCATGTCCCCATAACAGTGGGACTCTGTTTCTTTCACAGC